GATAATAATAATCATCATCATTATCATCATCAACATCACCATCATCATCATCATCATCATCACCATCATAATCAACATCATCATCATCACCATCATCATCAATATCATCATCATCATCATCATCATCATCATCATCATCATCATCATAATAATAATAATAATAATAATAATAATAATAATAATAATAATAATAATAATAATAACAACAACAACAATAACAAAACGACAACAACAATAATAACTCTAATGATAATAACAATAGTAATGATGATAATAGAGTTAAAATAGGATGATGTGTAAACGCAATTTTTTTTTCTTCTTTTTTCTTTTTTTGTGATCAATTATCACCCTATTTTACACCAACATAAATCGACTTCAAGTCCGCAGTCACAATGAATATAATTTCAGCCGTAAGATAAGAGTGGGTGGACAGACGGATAGTAAATAATAATGATGATATTTATAATAACAATAATAACGATATCGGCATCAATTTCAACAATAGTAATAATTAAGAAGGAATCATTTTATTAATGATGATGATGATGATGGTGGTGATAATAATGCATATAATATTAATGAACAATGATGATACAATAATAATTATAATAGTGATGATGATAATAGCAACAATAAAGATATATGCTAAGAAGAAGAAATATGGGGAGAAGATGAATAACTATGATGATGATAACAATAAAAATGATAAGAAGAATGGAAATGAAAATAAAGATTAGATAATAATTATCATAATAATTATGATAATGGTACTAATAATGATAATTATAATGACGACAATGATAATGATGATGATAAATCGGTAACAATATCATTAACAACAGTATCATCATTTTAATCGTAAGGACTTAATCACTTTATCTTCAAGGCACTAATAATAGCAATAATAATTGTCATCACCATCATTATATCTATATCATTGATCTAATGAAGAAACTCAGAAACACATGTTCTTTGTCTGCCGTGTTCACAGCAAATGTTGATGTTTCGTGAAAGTGAAGCGAGATGTGGACAAAACGTTTGGCTGCGGAAAACGTATTGTAATTTACTATTCCCACTATCGCCAACTTTCTCTATCGTTCTCTCTCTTCCTCTCTGTCTCCCGCTCGCCTTCTATCTCTCTATATATTTCTTCTTTTTCCTCTTCCATCTAGCTTTCATTCCACCACAGAACATAGGTTTCCCCAAATTCTTCATCAAGAGACTATTTGGCAGTGCCACTCATACCTCACTGGATGCCCTTCCTAATCGATCATTTGAACCATGTGACTACACTTACGACATCTGTTTGACCTCTCAGGGCGATATGTCTTTTTCTCGCCGTGAGATCGTGATTGAGCCAGCAGTCGTAGCGCAGGCATTTTGCAACTGCCCCGGCTGGGAATACACACACACACGCACACTCATTCACTCACTCACTCTCTCTCTCTCTCTCTCTCTCTCTCTCTCTCTCTCTCTCTCTCTCTCTCTCTCTCTCTCTCTCTCTCTCTCTCTCTCTCTCTCTCTCTCTCTCTCCACAGATGCACTTCTAAATTCTTTCTTCATCTATTCTAATCCATTCTCTTCTCTTCGCTTCTTTTCTTCTCTGTTCTCTCCTTTCTTCTTTTCGCTTCTCTCCTCCTTCTCCCTCCTCATCATGTAAAAAAACAAAACGGCTTGTGCTCTAAGCAAGCCGCCCCTCCGCTGTAACATGGGCGCGTGGCTCCTAGACGGCTGTAAACTGAGCCATTCAACCCGAGCGGCGAGGGGCCAGGATGCCGTTGCCTGTTGCCACTGCAGTATTTCCGAGGTGTGGCTCTTCGTGGGTTTTCCCGAAAGCGTGGAAGGCGAAATGGAGAAACTTGGTTTTGTGACACTCCTTTTTTCTACATAGCGTTTTGCTCTTTCTGCGTCTCGTCCCCTTTTTCGTCACTCTCTATGTCTGTTCTTTGCTTACTTTCTTCTTTGACCCATTCCGTTACTTTTCTTCCCCCTCTTTTCCTGTTTGTTTGTTTTTTTTTCATCGTTTCTATCTACCAGCTTCTGGCTCTTTCTCCTTTCTCTCTTCACCTCTCCACATCTCTGTGTGCCTTCTTTTCCCTTATCCCCCCCAATCTACCACTTTCCATCATCCTCCCACCACCTTTCCCCCTTTTCCTTTCACCTCCCTTCCTCCCCTTCTCCGTATCCATGTATCCTTCTAAGATATGATAAGCGGTAACACGCTGGCAGTCTTACCGACCCCGAGTTCAAATCCCGCATTGGATAGTAAACCCGGCCACGTTTGTACACCGAGGATACCTCTTCAACACTATAAACACAGAGTAGCACCCGCAAACCCTATTTAACCCTGTATAAACACCTTCACTTTTCTTTCCTAACAGGCAGTCTTTCTCCACACACTCAAAATAAACGTTTTACGGTCGTCCGATGCGCGTTAACGTATCAAAAGGAAATCCTTGTCATGGGTGAGTGAGCCATGTTATAATAACACGTTCGGATGTACATGCCATTACAACTGACAATTATCTTGAAGATCTTTAAAGCGTAAGAATTGTAAACGTAAGAATAATTAAGAATTGAGAGGATTACCACTTTGCTCATATAAACATTTATTCGTATTTAGTCTCCACGCATGATGGAAATTTTTGAGTGAAAGAATATGCAGTTTTTTGTATACATTTTTCCTCCGTGTTACTTTAATTCCTGGAGAGTGCAATACCTCGGTGACTGACCCGGCGAGAGGATGCACTTTCTAAAGACGCTCCGTCGTCTTCTCCCTTTCTCTTCCTCTTGATCTTTGACTTCCCTGCCCCTTACTCCTTATCTTCTCTTTTCATGACTGTGTATGTGTCTGTCTGTCAGTCAGTCAGTCGGTCGGTCGGTCAGTCAGTCAGTCAGTCAATCAGTCAGTCTGTCAGTCAGTCAGTCAATAGGTATGCATGCATGTACATATGAATGTATGTATGCACACATAAATACACAGGCAAATAGATAGAAAAATAAATAAAATCTTATCTATTCTTCCATTTACGTTTCATTCGACATATTGCAAAATCCTTATCTCTCAATCATATCCCTTCACGCACCTCGCATTTGTCACTTCCGGTAGTTAGTAAACATTTTCTTACGTTTTTGAAATACTCTTCTTCCTTAATTTTCTTTCTTCCTATTATTTCCTTTGACCTATTTTCTATTTTCATTTTTATTTTACTTATGTATATATGTATTTTCTCATTATTTTTTAAACTTTTTTTTTCGTTCTTTCTTTTTCTCATTATTTCCTTTCTTCTGTTTCTTCCTTTTTTTCTTCTTATTTTCTATTTTTTTCGTTCTTTCTTCCACGTTTTTTTTTCATTTTCTACAACCCTTTCTTTCTTCTCTTACTTTTTCTTTTCTTTTTTTGCTTATTATCTATTTGTTTGTTTTTTTTTGTTCTCCCTTTCTCTACGCATTCTTTCCTTTCTACTGTTCATCATTTTCCTCTCCTTCTGTTTCTGATCTTCGAATCACTGTAAACAGGAGAGAGAGAGAGAGAGAGAGAGAGAGAGAGAGAGAGAGAGAGAGAGAGAGAGAGAGAGAGAGAGAGAGAGAGAGAGAGAGAGAGAGAGAGAGAGAGAGAGAGGGAGAGAATTTGATTTGATAAATTGTGAACTAGATATATACATATTTATATGAATATGCATGAGAAGGAGAGAGAGAGAAAGAGGGAGAGAGAGGGAGGGCGAGAGAGAGAGAGAGAGAGAGAGAGAGAGAGAGAGAGAGAGAGAGAGAGGAGAGAGAGAGAGAGAGAGAGAGAGAGAGAGAGAGGGAGGGAGGGAGGGAGGGAGAGAGAGAGAGAGAATTTGATTTGATAAATTGTGAACTAGATATACACATATTTATATGAATATGCATGAGAAGGAGAGAGAGAGAAAGAGGGAGAGAGAGGGAGGGCGAGAGAGAGAGAGAGAGAGAGAGAGAGAGAGAGAGAGGAGAGAGAGGGAGGGAGGGAGGGAGGGAGGGAGGGAGAGAGAGAGAGAGAGAGAGAGAGAGAGAGAGAGAGAGAGAGAGAGAGAGAGAGAGAGAGAGAGGGGGGGGGGGGGCGAGGGAAAGAGACTGTCTTAGCCCTTGGAGACACTCACTTCTGAGTCGTCCTTCTTCAGTCTAGCCTTGAGTCGTGTTTCGGAATTTCCTCGGCAGTAGCAGGGTAGCCAGTCGCTCTCTCTCTCTCTCTCTCTCGCTTGGGAAAGTCCGCGAACGAGGCTGTGGGGTTGGTGAATGTTGCGTTGGTAACACTGCTCTTTTTTTGTTCTTGTTTTTGTTTTGTTTTCTGTTTCTCATTCTCGCTTTGTTTTTTTGTTTTTTTGTTTTTTTTTTCTTTTCCTTTATGCTCTCCTTTTTGTTTTTGTTTTTATCTCTCCTCTTTCTTTATTTTTTGTCTTTGTCTTTCTCTTTATTTATTCTCTCTCTCTCTCTCTCTCTCTCTCTCTCTCTCTCTCTCTCTCTCTCTCTCTCTCTCTCTCTCTCTCTCTCTCTCTCTCTCTCTCTCTGTTTCTTAATTCGATGAATCCCCTGTGTCGAAAGGGAGAGTTCCAGGTTATTTTTTTCAAATCAGGTTATTCATTATTCATAGGTGATATTTTTACTTTTATCATGATCGTGTTTTTGTCATCAGCTTCATTGTTGCTCTTTTGCCCTTACTGTCAGTATTATCATCCATATTATTGAGGTTGATATTGTAGTTATCATTATTATTATCATATTATCATCATTATTCTTCTTATTATGATTGCTGTTGCTATTGTTACCATTATCATTTGTTGAACTTTTTATCATTATATCGTCCTAATCGACATTGTTATCATCATCAATGATAGTATACTTATCATTACCATAATTATCAACTGTATTGCGAGTATCTACGTAATTAGTATGTTTATTATTGCAATTGCCTCTAATACCATCACCCTTATTGTTACTATCCACACCCCATTTATCATTATCTTAGTCTTTATCATGGT